TTGTGATCAGAATTGTCTCTGATTTCGAAATCATAAAAATCACAAAATTGATTTTTACTGCTTAAGGACCCTAATCCCAGCCGGCGGCTCAATTATGTCATCAGCTTGTGTAGGTATATTTATTCGCGAGGAAAGAACTATTGCCCCTTTCCCGCTAAATTCCACTTCATTTAGCAAATCATTAATAAAGACTAAATACAGTTTTGCGGATAAAGACCCACCTTGTAAGATTCCCTGTTTCATGATTACATTGTCCGACTTGAGACCATTAAAAACAACATTACTGGTAAATCGAGAATACATTAGTTTCATGATATTCCATACTTTCCCTTTAATACCCATATTGTAAAGCTTATAGATTAGGCCTTCTTGCCATACAGTATCGAATGCTTTATTGTTGCCAAGAAAAGCGACAAGCACATCAGATCCATAATCTAAGTTATAGTTCACACTTTCCTGTAGATTAAAAGAAGTACATAAACTACACAGTCTTTTGCGATATGCTGATTGATGCCTGTTCGAAATGTGTATGATTCTAGGACTGGACTTAAACGGGTAGACAAGAGTGTCTCAAAAATCTTGAAAAACACAGGAATTAATGTTATACCCCTATAGTTGTTTGGGTCATCTTTTGGTTTCCGATTACCTTTATACAGAGTGATTATTGTACCAAGTTTCCATGATTTGGGAATATACTCATACTTAATAATGAGATTGAACAAAAATGTAGTATGTTTGATCATTAGACTGCTACAGTATTTAATATGCTCATACACAAGACCGTCCGGACCACCAGACTTTTTTGTCTTAAGACCTTAACATATTTCAGAAACCTCTTTAAAGGTGAATTCTTTTCCTAGAAAAACATATTTATCAGTTTTCGCTTTTTCTGTCATGTTCGGTAAATCATCTTGAACATGATTAAAAAAAGTCTACATCGAACAGTTCGTTAGGTTCGTTCTCGAACAATTTACAAAAATGAGTACCCCATGCCTTTACTATTCCTTCTGGGTCACGTAGGACCCGACCGTCATACTTCAGTTCTGTTTGCTTTTGTATAGTTGCCAGAACAATACTTGGTCAACTTCACCCGATTGATCAATTTCTTCAAATTGAAGTCTCATATACTCGTTAAAAGCATTTCTAAGCTTCTTTCTAAAAACATTCTTACATGACTTATAGTCTAAAAAATAAACATCATTACCTCTACATTGGCCGTTGTCTTTCCACAATTTCCTTTTACTAACCATCAGATGGTGAACATTTGTCAACTCATCATTCCAATATGGTTTTAGATGTCTCTGAAATTTACATTTCTGAATGCAGCGTTTTGATGCATTTAGCAAAACAGATTTTAGAGCCTCATAATATGTATCAATTTCTAGGGTCGACGTGATATTTTGAGGAAAAGCTACTGAACTGAGGTAAATATCAACAATGTATTTGTAGCTTTGTATTTGACCACTATTTACAGCTTTACGCCAGTTATACCTCACAAATTCATCATTACATTGTTTGGATTGGATCTTAGGAGTCCCCACAGAACACAAAACAGGAAGGTGTTCTGAAGTATTAACTTCACATTCATCCAGGACTTCAGACCATTCTACTAAATCTACTATCCTACTTTCGACAAGGATATGGTCAATCATTGTACAGTTCCCAGTGACAGGGCAAAATGTATATTTAGGACCTTTACATTCAGTCTGTACGTTTA